GGAAATCTTGCTGATAAATTCTGCCACTGCTTCCACAAAAAATAAATTCTTCAAAATTTAAGAGCTGTTCTGCTACTCTCTGAGGGCAACAAAAACTCAATCACTTCTGAGCTCAGATGCATTTCATATCAGTTCAGAAGAGAAAATTGTAAACTTATGTCTATAGTTGTACTTCTTGAGCAGACCAAACCATAAAGCCAAATGGGTACTTTGAAAAGATCCAAAACTGCACACCTGCCAGTTATTATTGTGATTTTATTTCCCAGCACTGGCTGCGGGCAGTACCAGCAGGGTTTCACCCAAAGCCAAAGCATTAGCATAAATGACATGCTGCTACGCAGGCATCTGTTAATGAAATGGTGATGTGTACAACTATCCACACCAATTAAATGCTAATTGTGAAGGTGATAGATGGACAGAGGCAGACTGATGCCTGCGTAATTTAATCTAATATTTTAAAACTATATTTATATATCTTGCCCTGCCGTCCTCCACTGGATCTGATTCAGTCCTCATCAACTGGGACAATGCTATACTGATTCTACAACTGATGATTGTCTAATCACAAAACCTGCAATTGTAATCACAGGAATTTTGTGTACAGGAAAATGAAGATATACTTATAGACGAAATTCACAATAAATGTAATTTTTCATCCAGCCGTGAATAGTTAACTGAAGGATAAAACAACAGTTAGCTCACATCAGCGTCTTCATCCTTGGTAAGTTATGATAATACTACTACTGAGCCGCCATCAATTCCTGTGGTCATTACTGGCATTGCAATGTTAACAAACTTAGAAAGGTTAGCCAGTGCAGGGTGTGCTAATTGATGCAGAAGATTTTAATGAGGAGCACTGAGAAAATGGACACTAAATGTCAGGTATATAAGTACTCCACCCCTTGCAGGGGGAAATGTCAAGGATCTGTCGCAGGAAGAGAGCACGGGTACACCATCGCTTTACGGTAGTCGACTTGTGGGTTAATTTCCTACTGGAAAATTACCGTAGCCTTCTAGTTAACACAGATTCTTTGACTGTGAATACTATTATCACAAAGGTCAACCTTACTGGTAAAGTAACCAGCATAAACGCATGCCTAGCGAATAACATTGGAAAGAAAGGGGACTGATTCTGTAAGCAAAACTTGCTTTTTCTTTTTACTTTAGAAAGACTGTGGCCTATAAGTCTACACAGCAAACGCATTGTTGCATACTGATACAACTTTCAAGCATGCCTTAACATTATGTTCTGACCCCAACTTATAATCTATTTAATAGAGGCAATGAAATAAAAATAAATAATAAGCCAAAAGCTTATAAGCATTAACAAATTATTACAGTACACATTCAAATTTACAGCAGGAAATTACTGAATTGTTCTACTGAAAAAATAATGTATCATGGTTTCCTCAAATTATTAAATATAATGATTTTTTAGCACCAAATCAGCAAAGAGGGATCATGTGACACTGAAGACTGGAGAACTGGGTGCTTAAAAAATATCTTGAAATGGACGGTTATTAAAAAACGTTTATTTTTTAATTGCATTAATATTTCACAATATTAAATTACTTTTTTTAAAATATTCTTTTTGCTGAGTATACAGTGAGAGATTTCTCTAAACTAAAAAAAACGATCGTAGATTTCAGTTAAAATGTCAAACTTTGTTTTGCCTCGGTAAACACTACAGTACATTCAACATTTAAGAAAGTGGATTAACTAATATTTACCATAAGACACGTCATATTCATGGTGTGTAAATATTTCCCTCCTTTATCATTTTCTTTTGTATTTCTCATTGGCCCTTTTTTTCAGCAGATTGTCAATGGTTTTGTATTGGCAGTGCCTTAAAGGGATAGCTCACCCTTTATTTAAAATTCTGTCAGTAATTACTCACCCTCATGTTGTTACAAACCTCATGTTGTAAAACTTTCAAATTAAGATATTTTTGATTTTATCTGGGAGCTGGATCACTCCTCCATAGTCTCTTCTCTCTAAGGGAATGAAACTTGCCGGCCCAGAAAAGTTATTAAAGACATCGTTAAAATAGTCCAAGTGACTACAGTGGCTCAACCATAAGGTTATCAAGCAACGAGAATACTCTTTTTGCGCGCAAAAAAATACAAATAAAATAACGACTTTATTCAACTATTTGTTTCCTTCCCTGTGGGCTTCGAATGAGTTCACGTAGTGTAACAGCGCAGCAGTTCTGTGTTGTACGTCACCACGTAGGCTCACTATTGGCCGAAGCTGGTCATGTGCGTGTCATCGCATATCTGTGATGCCTTTTCATTTTTGGGTGAACTATCCCTTTAATGTCCAAAGGAGGCAGTGAGATTAGGTAGCTATTAGCTTGTTCTATGTTCTTGTAGCTGCTTTGTCCACCTGTCAACAAAGTTTTTGATTAATCAACTTGAATTCTGAAAGAAACCAATTTATGTTTAAGTTTAATGCTTAATCCATCCATAATTATGAAGATGTGCTTGTTCATAAAGGGAGTCAACTAACTGAATTAGGCTACATGGTTAAAAAAAAAGACCTTTAATGAATGCAGAAAAACATGGGTTAGGGCTTGTTCACAAAAAACGCATTTTTGCTTTGAAAAACGCGGAAAATGGAATGGAATGCGTTTTCAAAAAAAGTTGAATTTAACTTGAGCGGTGCATTTTTAGAACACTGTATCATGCGAAAGAGACGCTGCAAAAGACGCAAGATGCGAGCACAATGATCATACATGTCCGTCTAGCACATTTATATAGACAAACAATGGAAAAGTAGCGCATTTATATAGAAAAACCTGTTCTGTATGTTCTTCACATGAAGATCAATCAAGATCAAGTTTCTAGCAGCGCTCAAATGGAAGAAGTTCCAGTGGCTGCTGCGACCAAATCTGAAAAATTATTTTTCTTCTCCACCTGAGTCACAGTTATCCTGAGCTCATAAATCAAAATGGCTTGTCTATATTTGAAGGACAAGGAGAATGGGAAAGTGCTGTTTTTATTTTCCTCTCTTTTAGATGCTTATGTAAGAAACATAAATGTATTTATTTGTGCCTCCTGTTTTACTGACATGCACAACAAACAGCAAATTAATCAATTTCACACAGAACCATATAGCCCTGTTCATTGTTTATTCTCTCTTGCAGTGAACCAGGAACATCAGGGCCATTTTGAAGATGGATTGGCACTGGTTTTGAAGAGCTCTCGCAGACATGGAAGTGGATTTACAACAGAGAAGTGGCAGTATGATCTAGGAGGCTTTGATGCCATGTGGAATGTCATATGGTGATTAATAAATTTAAGTGACAGAAATGTCTTTCCTCCAATAGAGGCAGGGGGTGAATGCAGGATAATGTCAGCCAATGAGGCCTGCGATGTGGAGAACTTACAGCTCAAACCAGGCCCAAAAATAGAAGCATGTCCAAGAGAGCTGGTAGCTGCATTTGAGTGTTTATACCACACTGCAGAATAAATTTTTCATGAGCAGCCAGACATGCAGGACGTTACCGAACCACTGCTCGACTTCCTCATCACCAGGATCAACATTATTAGCATCCTGACACTGTTTTCACTTTCCTTCAAGGAAAAGTGTTTTTTTTTTTTTTTTTTTTTGGCTTATAGAGCACTCGATAAAACAGGAAAAAGTTTAACCAGGACAATTTAGGAGTCAATTCCAAAATCCTGCAGGGCTACTTGGACAAATTAGTCCTAAATTATTTATCATGTAAAATATGTTCTGTTTGGAGTCTGCTAGTTGCTTTGGATATCTTTTTCTGATAAAAAAAAAAAAAAACTAATTAAAATGTTAATGATGCATCTTGAGAAAAGCTTCCTGCCAAACAATTATAAAATCAACTGATTGTTAATAAACACTATCACGTATATTTATTTAATGTAATTACATTTTTTAAAAATAATTATAGAATAAAATAGCACACATACCAAAAAACAAAACAGCTAAACAATTCATAGAAAATTATAAGAGTTATAAAAATATTATGCAAGTTACAAGAGATGCAGAAGAAGAAGCCTTTTTTGGTCTAGGTATTTTAAGCAACATGTAGGCTCTGAGTGGGTTGTAGGGAAACTCATTTGGCTAATTGGCTTTATGCTTAGTGGTTCTGAGCATATGTGCTTTGGGAAACACAAACACACAAACAGTACACACACACAAAAAAAATCTTCTCTCAATTCTCACTTATTTAGATTTCAGAGTGTTCATGTGAGTGTGTGCCAAGTAGGGAGAAAAAGACAGCAAAGATCAGGTTGGAAAGTCTGAACTTTTGTTGAAACCAAATAAAGGTATATGGTAGGCAATTTCAGAGAACCTAGTAATAGCAAGCTAGCTTTGAAAGCATGAGATACCACCCTCCCTTCAGAGCACTCTAGAAAGTCACACCTTCAAAACACATGAACAGAGCAGTTTGCAAAGCATCAAAAAACATCTAAATTACCTCATGTCTCAAAGCACATAACACTGCAAAAATAATGAACATAAACAACTTACAGAGCTCTGACTTGTACCAACTGACTGCTGGAGATTCATTTCAGTGCTGATAGTCTTGACATAGAAACGTTAATCAGAGTCTGAGGACTTGAACAGCCCCAGATAGAACGTCACGGGTTGCCATCACATATGATTACAACAAGGCATGAAAGCAAAAATAAGCTTGTTGTTTTGGTTAAGCGGGATCGGTAAAACAAACTCATCTACAACTCGGCATAGCCTAGCCTTACGGAACGAGCTGAATGTACAATGTGTATGGTAAAAGTGTTATATAAATAAAGGTGATTTGAATACGTGTGATGTATACGCAGGTAGGACACTGATCATTCCATTTGGACCGAATACAATGATTGGACAACTATTTTTTGCTCCTGAGACTTCCACAGAAGATATACAGTTTGTACATGTTTTAATATTCAGACCAGTTTGAATACTATAAGGATGTGAAGAGAGATTCAACAAGTATAACAACATTTATAAAACAAATTGCCTACCTTGGTTTAAGTGTCATCTACTCTGCAGAGGTAATTGATGTCAGGAAGGAACATTCTGAGAAGGTCTCTGCACAAGGCTATGTATATATATATAAAAAAAACTTGAGTTGAGCCCTGATAACTGCACATTATTTGTAAGACTCTTCACATATCTCACTTCTCTTTTGAGCACTTAACTATTGAAGCGGGCAACAACTAGCAAATTATTTTTAAAGACACCATATACACATTTTTTTCATAAATAAAACTTTTTCATAAAACTTTAAATTCATTTAAAGAGAAAAAAGGAACATTAAAAAGTACTCACCTTACCTTTTACATTGATAGCCATTACGTCCAACTCGTAACTTCATGCAGCATGGATCCTGCAAAAGCAGAATAAATATCATCTTGTCATTTGAGACCTTGAGTCAGTGCTCAGAGATTAGGCTCCATGTGTTGTTTTCTGCATTTTATGCCTTCAAAAAGTACATGCTGAATTTCACATGAGTGAATTTTCATTAAAAAAAAAAAAAAAATAGGAATGACATGTAGCCCAATTGGGCTTTGGCGGACCGTTGTGGTCCTTTCCCAATCTCAACATCTCTTTCCATCACTTTCTCTTCCTGTCAAAAGGCAAAAAATAAAATAAAATCAACTTTGTTTGGATGATAAATGCTTAAAATACTACAGAAATCATACTGAAACAAAAGGTGATCTAAAAGGCCTATTTTTATACTGTAAAACTAGAAATTTTTTATACAGTTTATGGTTAATAATAAACTGCAACTTAGAAACAGTTATCATAAAAACCTTTCAAATGACCAATTTCCGTAACACTTTACAATAAGGTTCATTAGTTAACATTTAGTTAATGTATCAACTAACAAATGAACAATACATTTGTTAAAATATTTATTAATCTTTGTTAAAGCTACAAATGCCATTTTTTGGCACTAGGGGTCGCTAACCACTTACAATAACAAAGGCGTAGATTGATGACGCAGTAATAAGCGGAATCATTGAACTTGCTGTCATGCTGATGGATCTAATAATGTTAATGAATGAGTGAATACATTGATGTTTTTTAACATGACTGTGGTATGAAGCATGGCATATCAATCTGAGCACGAGACTGAAGACGAAACATTGGAAGTACTAGTTATTATTAGGGATGGGTACCGAAACCCGGTATTAAACGGGCCCCGGTACTGAATTTTGAAAGACCGCTGTATCGATAAGCTCGGACGTTATCGGTTCTGCTGTCGGTACTGGAGAAATTAAGTAAATACACATAAGTTGGGCTACTATTTATTATTCCTATAAAGAAGTTATCTTGAACATGTTTCGTCAGCCATTTCTATATATAAGCTATATTTTAATTAAACCATAGTCTGTGATGCAAATTTGCAATTCGCAGTTCAGAAGAGAGAGAGAGAAGAGAGAGAGCGATCTCTCACGCAAAGCCACAGCACGCGCAACACGACAGCCCTGCTTAATGAGTGACAATGAGGACAGAACTAACATTCAACGTGGTTACACTTTAGATCTGGGATATTATTCTAATATATTTTGTATTTTGGCTTCCAAAGATTATAAAAAGAAGATATTTGAGATAAAACCGTTAAAAAAACGAGACGATCTGTCCAGCTTAACTTCCTTTACTTCACGGCACTGCGGAGCGCTGTCAGTTCTTCTTCTTCCTAAAACCCAAACGTAACCGTCAGAATCAGCACGATCAGCGATTGTTGCAAAATGCTGTCTTCTACTGTTGCAAGATAAAAAAATGGCTATTAAAAAGTTTTAATAAAAACACAAAAACCTGCGCAAGAGACGCTGTTCACAAGGCGGTGCGCGCTCCGAAAGGGACTGCCTATACTTGGGCTCGTGCGTCCTTAACTATCAAATATACATAAAAATGTCAAAATGACCAGCTCTGAGATTCACTTAAACACAATTATGTCTTAAATGGACGTAAATAATAGGGAGAAAATGATGGTGCATCAGTCCCCATTAGATCTGCAATCGGTCTTAAAGGGGCAGCAGTCTAATAGCCTAAACCTGCTGACGATTCAGCCATTAATGCAAATCAAACAACCAAAGCCAGAGAAAATCCCTCACAGCTTTTGAATGAGTAACTTTAGATTTAATAAGCATTATTCTATCTATGATAAACTATACAGTGCTATTTTATATTTGATTAGGTTTCTTTTCAGATAGAAACAATTACCTGAAAAGATGTTAGTACACCTTCCTGAAATTAAAGCACTTTGTATATAATTTGTATCTTTGATTAATTGTATTCTTGTGTTTGTACTTGTTTTTTTCTTATGCATCCTTTTTGTATAAACAAAAAAAGCCTGCACACTGCTGCATAACAAAAATATATTTTTCTTCGTTTTGCTTTTTCTATTTTACATTTCAAAATATAAAGTTTAATTATGTTCTTAATTCTTAAAAAAACAAAAAAAAAAACACCAAAAAGAACCGATAAGAATACCGTTAAAGTACCGGATCGATAAGCGGTATCGGTAAGAGTAGTAATACCGATAAAACCTTAACGATACCCATCCCTAGTTATTATCCTTTATCTTTACTTAAAGTAGTAAGAACGACAGATGATTTGCATTAATAGACGCAGTTTTAAGTAAGAGTGGCCTACAGCTGAATAGCAGAAGTGTTTCAGTAAGACCGTAATAACTTGACTTAGCAGTTAGCCGGAGACTTACACCATATAAAACACAAAACTAAGTATGGTTGAAAATATATACAGTACATAACAATAACAATAATAAGTCATACTTGCAGGTTGTGATTCTGAGGAGCAAGTTAGTCCAAATAAACTGGGTACTGACCAATCATGAAAAGAATGAAAAGAATGTGTGTGTGCAGGCTCATAGTCTTATTTAAAGTGACATCGCCAACTACTACTCTGTCATGCATAATACAGCATTATTAATCGTTTTCACTGATCTGTGTGAACAGGGATCATTTTGGTAATGTTGTCATCTGTATAAAGAGAAAAACGTTTGCGTTTTTAGCACATTGTTGTCATGTAAATGTATCCTTAGAGCACATTGTGGTTTATCCTCACATCTGTTTTTAAACGACACAATTGGATGAATGATTCAATGACTCACTCATAAAGACAGAAGATAAATTTGGATTTGCATACTGACACATTACTACTTTTTCTATTACTAAAAGCTACTCCAAATTCAGTGAATCACTTGTTTCACTTCAGAATTGGATGACTGAATGATCCATTACAAGATCCACGACTTGTTGTTTGTGTCCAATCAATCAATTACTCACTGAAAAAGACCTAATGGTATATCGATGCAACCTTCAGAAAAAAAAAAATCCTCACCACTAAGACTGACATCTGTCTGAAACACGCAAACATGGACAAGAGGAGTGATACAAACAGTAAAATGTGCTCTTGAAAGATCAATTAAATTTAAGGAACAAAAGTAACTTGTATACAAATGAAGAATTCACATTGGAGATATTAGACTGGAATTGCAGTATGGTCTGACCTCTCATCTCATAGTTCTCTTCATGTGCTTTTTTTGGTTGGGCACTTTGGACATTGCCTTGTCAACCCCCAGGCAGTTAAATGTTATGTTGCCTTTTCTAAAGACACCAGCTCTATTGTGTCATTTTTAATGAGCTGCCTCATCACATTCATGCAAGGGTTCTTCAAGGCTTTGCTGGCTAATTTCCCAGGGGTTGAAATGAAATCTTTCACTTGGAACTCTAAAAAGAGGAGACACAGGCATGTCTGGAGGATATATATAATATTATACAAGACACTATTTGATCTGATAATTTAGACAGTCACACAGACATTAAGCAGAATAATACCTTACATCTGAAGAGTCACAGGACTTGATTCAAGCCTTCAAAAAGCATCATGGGCCCTATCTTGCACCCGGTGCAAATGACTTTGTACACTGACACGTGTATCATTTCTATTTTGCACCCACGCAATGCAGGCCCCCTGGGCGGTTCAGCACAAAAAAGGAGGCTTGTTTCAGCGCAAACAATCCCTGGTGCTATTTTGCAGTTCCAGAAAACAATTGCGCCACTGACCAGAAAAAAAAAAACAACTAGTCTAAAGTCAGTGGCGCGTTGTGGCCGCGCATACACTGTAGATGATTCTCTCATCTACACAGATGCATTTTACTTTACTTTACTTATGCAAATGATACATTATTATAAAGAAAAATATTTAAACATGAGGGTCCATGTCCTAATTTGGTCCAGCTAATTTGGGTGGATTTGTCCCATACCCAATGTTACTTCTCTTTCTTTTACTGACCTGACGAGAACATCGATCTTCTCGGATGTGAACCGATTGTGAAGCGCGCTTGGTAAATGAGCCATTATAATAGTATTGCGCCATGGAACAACCACACCTCGTTCATCATGCTCTTAAAGGGATACTCCACTTTTTTAATACGAGACCGGAATACCATAAGGGACATTCCATACAGGCCTTCCGTAATCATGCCAGTAGGAGGGAATGGAAAACGTTGTCTGACCTTTCATAGCACATATTCTATTTAGGATGCAGTCTGACTGCACTCACAGCCAATCGACTCTCTGAAAAACAACCGAGTCTCATATCGGAACAGAATGCTGTGTCCCCGTGGTTTCATGCTTGATATTACAAGAAGCAGCACTGCACACCAATACATTTCCTTATAACATTGAAGATAAAATGGGCAACATGATATCAGAACATTTCCTGCAGAAAAAAAAACACAATGTAGAGAGAATGGGACTCACAATTACTGTGCTTGACTATCACAGTGGGGAGTTCGACCCAGACCTCCTGCAGCAAAACAACTGTGGTATCTAACCATAGCCAATGCCCTGCACGTGATGAATCAATAATCCATTAAAATATAATATCTCCGTGTAATTGGATTTGGGAGCTTATGTTTTTTGCTTTTTCGAAGCAAAATGTTCTCAGGCTCAAATGTAAATAGGGTCCTGCTACATAGAAACCCCTTTGTCTAAATGTAGACCTTGAGACACATTATATGGAGCTGATTCAAGCAAAGAAAACAGAAACCCTCAGGGATGCTTCCAGCTTGTTGTATCAAGTGGGCAGAGTCCAGTTTATAAAAACATAGGGGGTAGTGATATCAGATCCCATGTTCACCTCAGCATTGTACAGGGGTAAACTGTTGTATTATTTCCATATAGATTGGCTATCTGTCTGTGTCATTTCCATTTTGATGGAGGCTGAGCAGGGATGACATTATAGAGTGTAACATACCATTTCGTGATGGGTAGGTGGAGCAAGTGTGGAAAAAGGAGCTTTGGGTGCTGTGGCTCATATTTTTTGTCAGGAAAGTAAGGGGAGAATATCTAG